GGGGGGGGGGGGGGTCAGACCCTGTTTGTACATGTTTAAGTTTGACCAGGGTGAAAATGTGATGGCAATCAGCAACAATGTCCACCAACTTGGAGGACGTTGAATTATTTTGAGCACATTTTATTGTGTGTGTGTGTTTTTCATTTTTGTTTTTTGTTTGTTTTGTTTTTTTGATTGGAAGAAAGACGCAAATACACACTAGACTGTTGCGATGAAAGATTTATGTTGGCTGCTCGTGACCAAATCCAAACGACTCCTGACTGTAGTGACCAAAGTGTCCTTTGTCCACTTTTACTGCACTTTTTTTTCAAAGCCATCACAGTGAATGCTTCTTTTAGATGGGGTGGGGGATGCTCGAGCCACTTTGGGGGTCTTGACTTTAAAGGTTCCTGACAATGCAGTTCTCCATTTCCCATGTACATGTTTGTGTCTTTATGCCATCTAAATTGTGATGTTGTCGCCTTAACACTGTTTTGTCCATTCCTTTGGATTTATTTACATTTATGGCTACATCTCAATAAAGTCATTTATTTAGTTTAAAAAAAAAAAAGGTGAAACAGCCATTACTGTATATAGATTCACTTGATGCGAAGAGGGTTTTTTTTCCTGATTTTATTGTTTTTAATTTTGAAGATTATTGTTTTGAAAACCCCAAATTCTGCATCATTTTTAATGTCGAGGTTAAGAATTGGCCTTCTGAAAATTCTGTGTCCTCTGTGTTTAATGAATTTGCATTATGAGTGTGACAGGAGTTCAGCTACTTAAAGGGACGTTTCTACCATATGAATAGTTGAAATGCACCTGCAAATGGTCACTTATTGATAGGTGGCTCGCTTGAATGTAAATTTGCCCTCCAAAAAATGCCCCCCTTAACAGCCCATCCCCCTTCCTTGGTTATGTCTTATGTCGATTCAGAATTTTCACTTCAGACTGGCTTTGTTTCAGTTGCGCACTGGGCCACTCTTCACTGTCATCTCTTTGGATACAATAAAAAGCACGACAGTAACTGGTAGTCGTTTATTGACTAGAGCGCGGGATGTTAATCCTGTTTTGTTTCATAACGGCGACAACACAAATTTGTAATCGGCACGACCCGGAATAACGGCACTCAACACGATCGCGGTTCGGTATGTACGGTACTTGGGTTTCAAGGTCGTGGTTTGGTTTAAATTGGGTAGAGTAAGCGAACAAAATGCTCTTATTTTGCGTAAACTGGAATCATCAACAGCTTGATTTTTTGGGGGGAGGGCTGGGTGGTGGAGAGGGTACATCATCAATGGGCTGTCTTGTCAAATGCAACTATCAAATATTTCATGTATAAAAGTTTAGGGAACACTGATAGTCTGTCTCCTTTTTAGGAATCGAAGGCCGCAGTCTCACTTTGAACAGTGAATTATGCTACACAAACACTAATAAGGTAATTTGGTATTATTTTGACTCCACCTCAAGAGCCTGGCTAGAATAACTAGGCCAGTCGATGAGTGTATTGGTACATGAAGTCTTAAAATGAATTTTAACCCTTTCAGGGACAGCGGTTACTATAATGGATGGCTTATCATGTTATCAGGTTACAGGGCGCATGAAAGGTTTAAAAACATGGACAAAATGCCCAAAGGGCTTTGCATTGGCTGGTCAACAGTCCAAAAAAATTGTTCAACTTATTGTACAGACTGACCCCTAGTGGACAGAAACGCCTACTGTTAAACGTTTCCTGCTCATGTTCTGTTCGTCCCAAATGAGCAGAAAGTGTTGTATAATGTAACTGTTTATTACCTATAAATGTAGTTATGGGTTTGGATGACAGTAAATGTTGCACTTTCTTATCTTCTTGATGTTGGCGGGATTGCGCTGCAGGCCAGTGGGCCAGACGACGGTGGAAACAATTAAACAAAGGACCATAAAAGGGACACTTGTGGCTCTAAGCTTGACTTATTTTGAGGTCCATCGGCCGGTTATTCTGTTACTACTGCTACTTGACTTTTACACGTGTTCAAATAATTGCGGGCCGTCTTGTTAAAGTTAACGATTCTACTGCCAAGACTTGCCTAACAAGATTTGGACGAGGCGTGTTTTGTAGAGCAGAGACAATTGACAACACATGAAAAGTCCAAATGAGTTTTATTTGTTTTTTTGTAAAAGGAGGGGGCGGGGGGGGTAATCTGGGTAAACATTTAGAAGAAATGGTAACAGGACACAATTTCAGCCTGCGGGTATGTGGTTCAACTGTGGGAGAGGCACTCGAGTTAGTATAAATGGATGCCGCCATGGAAGAGGATAACAAAGAACTACCATCTGCTGCTTTACCAAGTAGCAGACGCTAAAATGACAGCATGTTGAGATCAAACGAAACCAGAGGCCATAAACTCGGTTTGCATCATGAGCCAAGTTGAAGTCATAGTTTTCCTCCGAGCGGCCAGTATGACGATGAAAACTAGGGTTGCAAAATTCTGGACCTTTTCAACAGTGGGAACTTTGTACAGGAATTTTCACATAGTACCTTGACTTAAAAGTGGCCCAATTACAAGTAAACCAAATGTGGCCCAACCCAGAAAACAGGTGAGTCTCCATGTTTGTAATGTGAGCCCAAGGGCACTGTGACCTCAATTCCAGTCGACAGCAGAGGGCAGTATAAGGTCAAAATGACTCCACCCTGAGACAACGGGTGAGTTTTCACCCTTTTGAATTCTTATTCCACCAAAGCAATATTACCCAGCATACTGTGTTTAGACTTGTGGGGTCACGTAAACCATATTATGGCCAAGACATGTTTTTAACTTCCGCTTTTAAGGTGCTATAATGCCCTCACATGCGGGCAAGAACTACCTGCTTAGGATAAAAATATTTAGGCTTGAACATGACACATTTCCTTTAAATGACCCCTACTTCCCATGGAACGCTTCTTATGTGGAATATTTCCAAAATTTAAATGACCATAAAAACACATCTTTGCAATGCTCACATTTTTTTTAAAAATCATATCACATCACCAAATTATTGTATTTACACTAATTCTTCAGATTTTTAGCAACTATTATCCAAGGAATTGGGTGAAAACAAACGCTGGTAGGAAAAGCATTTTGCATTCGATTTTCTGCTCGGATGTAAACAACAAATCCATTTTAGAAAAAAAAACTCTCTTGCTTTAGTGTGACCTCTCCAGCCCCTGGGCCTCGACTTTGACACCCGCGAACTCAACAAAAACAAATAATGACACACATGAAGGATTCCAATCTTCCTTCTTGGCAAACATGACAGTTTCAACACTGTGGCACGCATTAGATTATGTTCTCTCGAACTACATATGCTGTATATGGCTTACAAGGTAAACAGGTCCGCACGAACTCGGAAAAACTATTGTACAGCAATTCATTGGCAACAACAACAAATAAACAGCTAATATGTAAACAATGGACATGAAGTTAACTATTTACACAGAAGGAAGGAAACTTGCCAAGACGTGGATTTATACAGCGAAAAGCCAGCACGGCATTGGATAAACCTTCCATTTTCTACTCTAAAAAAGAAACAAGGACACCATGTCCTCTGCTGGGGGTATAAATGCACTTTCATGAGTTTTTACCCCATCATGAAACAGGGGTGCAACATTGGGGGGGGGGGCATGACTCACTAGCTGTGCAAAATGCGCTCAAAAGCAAAGTGACAGTGGCAAAAGTTCCGTGTACAGCTGCACGGGGGGGTGGGGGGCTGATTTTTCATTCTGACAAGGCACTGAAGTAGAACAGGGGGTGCAGGTTGCATCTTCAGTCTGGTCTCAAGATTGGATACTTGGGTAAGAATTCTATAAGAATCACCTTTGTACACACACAAACAAGAAAATCATGTTACTTTCATTTATTAACAGTTGACACTTGATTGTAATTAGTGCACTGTAGGTCAGTGGCACCGTGATGTCGTGAGAGAATCTGGTTTACCACAGGAGATGACCCAAATATATTGGTCAACAGCAACTTTATAGTCAGAGGTGGCTTCATGTGGGCCTAAATATATTGTTGATGCTGACTTTTAAAAGTCTTGACCGTACTTTTTTTTTGGAAATATTGTACATTTTTTTGTTTCCAAGTTTGACCAAGTATAGCTTGCGCAAAACGGATTTTACCATGCGCTGTCATTTATAGCTAACTTGTTGCAGGAGGGCCGCCGGCAAGACTTGTCGCTGCGCCGCAGCTTCGACGGACCGTCAATATGTGTCCTTACACAAAAGCCATCCATGGTGCAAAAGAGATTGGGCACTGGACTGCTGCCCGAGAGAACTGTGCTAAGTAAGCTCACTGATCACAGGGTCCCATACTACAAGTCAGAGAGGGGGGGGGGGGGCAATTTGTTATTGTTGTTAGTGGTGTTAAATATGAGTGTCATTTTACAAAGCGGTATGGTCTTGTTTTAATAAGATGCTACTGTGTAGCCTTGGTATGATATAAAGTTTAGTCAGTTATGTTAAAAAGACCCTTCTATAGTTAATCGATTTGGCAGTGTTTTTAACAGTGAATGTTACAATTGATTAAATGGAGATAACTCACTGTTGGGAGTAAAGGATGAACACATGCCTGGTGAACATGATGTGACCAGTAGATGCTGTGCTTACTCCTACTTACATATTCCATCATGTTGCTGCTCTCACATTTTCTTTTACTCAGCTTCCAGTGCAGGCCCAGCTGAACAGAAAAGACCAAATCAATAACACGCAGTAAACACACACGCACAGACAGCAGGGCTGTCTGGCGTGTGTGAGGTCAAACTGTGGTCAGACATGCTGAAGGGCTTTATGTCCACGCGCGCGCACACACACGCAAACACACACAAAAAAATGCTTCAGACAGACTGACAGACACAGACAGACAACCAAATAGGCAAAGAGATTGACAGATACAGAGAAACAGAGAAAGCCAGACTGAGAGAGGAACACAGCGACAGACAACTCAAGAGAGACACAGACCAACAAACTGAGAGACAAAGTCAAAGAAACAGACATTCACAGAGAAAGACCGACAGACACAGTAAGACAGAGAGAATGACAGACATTCACATGGCTAGAAACTGTGACAGACACAGACTGGGGAGAGACGCACAGAGAGAGACAGTTAAAAGCGAGAGACAAACAAAGATAGGGAGACAGACAGTGACAGACAAAATGAGAGACAGAGGAAGAGACAGACAGTTACAAAGAGATGAAAAAGAGACAGGAAAACCCAGAAACAGCAAGACAGAAACAGCAAGACAATCACAGAGAAACAGACAGACGGAGAAACAAAGACAAAAAGAGACCTACATAGTGAGACAAACAACCGACCAACAGACATACAGAGTGAGATACAGACAGACAGGGAAGTTAAGATACCTTATGGTACAATCTGTTGTTCTCCCATTCTAACAACTTGTGAATGGACCTTCTTGTCTGCGATAGGAGAAAACACCAATGAATCCAGAAAGAAAAGCCTTGTTCGGGACACTCTGGTATTTTGTCTCTCGTCTGACCCTCTTGTTGAGACATATGACGGGCCACAGGCTGCATCCGGCCGTGCAGCAGCAACAGAGACACCCGCACAGCAGCCACTTGACGTTGACTGGCACGTTCTTCCTCAGGCAGGCGTTGACGCGACCTACGCTGGAGCGGAACTCCTCCGGCGCCACCTGTGACCAAACAAATGTGAGAGCAATAAGATTTACTTCACTTCCAAATTGGGTCATGTAGGAGACGTCCATTATTGTACTTGCAATTTTACAACTATAGAAGTTCCACGTTGGACTTTAGTCTAGTTTCCAAGAAAGCCTAGCCTACAGGACCAAAACATTTACGTATCATCTGATACTGATTATTGTAATATAGATTAATTTTATATCTTGTTTGTTCAAAAATACATGGTAAAATAATTAGATATTTAATTGCAATAATTGAGCGTACACAATTATTTTTCCAAATTGTTCAGCCATATTTATTCAATTATTAAATACTGATAGATAAGGAAATCAGCACCCATGATATAAATCCCCGAGGTTTTATTGCAGCCATAGTTTACAACTCTAAATTCGTCTTACAAAATGACAAAAAAAGCCCACTCGAGTGTCAGTGTCCCATATAAAACTTTTTTTTTAATAGTTCACCCCAACCACACATTAAAACACATTACAAAACAAGTATGTTTTCACGCCTGTTGTCACTCTTGCTGTCAAAAAAATGGAGTCTATCATATAGCATCACTTGAAACATCACAGAAAGTGAAAGGACTGGTACAGCTCTCAAAAAAAAAGCTGATGTTGTGCCCAGTTGAGTTTTACTGTAAAACTGACACAAATGAAAACTGACATCACCAAAATGTCCAATGATATCATGTAAAAAAATTTTACACGGGTCTATTAGCTTAATGCTAACATATAATGCAAAACATCCTGAACTGGTGAAACAGAAAAAAAAATCTTGCTAAAATTCCAAAGCTTTAAACAACAACTACACACATGGAGCCGGAACACATACAAAGAGAGCACATAATGATACTCAGAGGTGCATTTTGTTGGCCTAATGGCATAAATGCTTAAGTCGTTTTAAATTAGTGTCACAAGCTCAAAAGAATACCAATGTCTTTACTAAAAATTGTGTATTTTTCCTTCGGCAGTGTAAATTCTCAAGTCACCCAGGTTGTGGCAAACTGCAAAGGTTAATCGAGGCCAATTTGACTCTTGTTTGAGGAATTTGTTTTTTCCTTGTTTTCCCCAAAAAGGTTTAAATATGACTCTAGGCGACGATCCTATTAGGGTAATAAGATTCTTTGTGATCTTTGGGAACGACGCCCTAGTGAGGATAAGCGGTTGAGAAAATGGATGGACTTTCTCTGCCTTTTCTTGCTCTTAATGCTGCTGCATTTCTTACAGTCCAGCTCAGTGCTGCCTGGCATATTTTAAAAGCACGCAGCTGTAAATTGGGTCTCAACAAGTGTGCTGTAAAAATCGTTTTTTTTTTTTTTTTTTTTTTAATGGTCACTTGAAATCTACGATATAGAGAATGATCAACCCCAATATATTGGACGTTGATACTATCACGCTCTGTGATGTCTCTGAATACACTTTCAGTATCTCAACAGTACTGGAAAGTTACATTTTCTGCACAGATGCCATCTCGCAATGTTGTCCCTGGCCTTGCAAGCGCGTGTCAAAGGCCTCAAAGGACAAGATAAGCAGCAGAAGCGCGGCCTGTGGCTGTGGCGGGCGGGCGGGCGGTTTGGTCAGAGCCGAGCTGAATGGATTGCTCATTCCTGGCCCCGAGTCTGTACGCCATAAAAGGGGGTCGTAATCTTTTATGACAGGATGCAAAGGTCTCTTTGCAAACAAGCAAAGAGCTGGGAATAAAGCCCAGCAGGGCCTGATGCGCACCCTTCAATCATCATAATTGTGAGCTCCTCCATCACATGTCGGCCGGTCTCACAATGCCGGAGGTGCGCTTTATTGCCCCGCACTTCCCTCAGCCCCGCACGCGGCCCTGCAGCCTTTTTGTGCTCTTGCGTCTGACCCAGGAAACGGACCCTTTTCTTCTCGCCCTCACATTATTTCGTCACCTGGAGTCGGACCCGCGGACACGACCGGCCTGGCCCCCCCTGGCGGCGGCTTACTCATTGACGGGGCCAGCGTGGATGCGACCAATCCGCTGGCGAGGACGTTTGAATGGGGAAGACAAAAGAAGCGCTGGGCCTTTTAATTGTTCAACTGGAAGTGAGTGGAAAGTGCAAGAAAAGTCCAAACGTGCAAATGTACCTTTCCCGTGAGAATGGACGGGAACTCGCTATCGAATCTGTTGCTCAGCCCGAACCTGCACAAACACAAACACGGGGATAATGAACATTATGAAAGTACAATCAAGAGTGTCTTCTTTTTGGCATCCATAAAGAATAAATTAAAATGCTCTCTTCTGTACAAATAGGTCAATATATTCAAGAGGGAAAAAAATGCCTCAAAATACAAATACTGTTTAAGAATAATATTCTATGAAAATAGTAATAAAAAAATAAATAGTGCAATCATGTCACTAATGAGACATGAAATAAATTAAAAGGCTATTTCAGAAATAAAAAATTAAATATTCAAACAAAATTCTATAAAATAAAATAATGAAATTAAAATATGTATATTATACAATAAGTCATTTAAAAAAATGCAACTATTAAGATAACGTAAATAATGTTGATAGGCTTCGACAGCGAACGCAGTTAGCGTAGTAACAGCTGACGTCACAACAAACGACGAAGCTCCACAGCTTGACGCTAGACCTCAATGTAAACACTGACATCAATCACGCTTGGATACGACTGAAATAACATCAACTTGAAGTCCAAGTTAAACGCGTGACTGACTTGGCTGTCAGTGAGCTCGTTTGCTAACGTCACATCACGTCACCCACTGTCTACAACGTCCTAGGTCGACCGGACCACACCATAGAACAGCGTCAAGTTATCGGTTGCCATGGTGACGCAAGGTGCTGGAGACGCTCGTTTCGTGTCTTAACAACACCCCGAGGGACAATTCTTGTTTACCAAGTGAGCTACTTGGCTACCTAGCAGCTGCACAAGCTACGAGATGCAAAAGTGACCGCAACAAAACACGACACCGTAACGAAACATGCGCAAGAAAGAAAAACATTTACACTGTGATGTGTCCGGCGCCGCGCATCACGACGGGATCCGGGCAGTATCTGGATAAGCACTCCTCAATGACGACACGTTCGTCTTCGTCGTCGTCTTCTAACTCGTAAATGGTATCAAAGTCCGCCATGTTGTGGCAGCGAGACGTGACGTCACTCGTGAGCCGCGCGCGCACGCCTGGACGTACGAGCACGAGAGCGAGCACGCAGGGGAGAGGCGTTAACATTTACCATTCTAATCATGAAATGTGTTCATTAAATGACAGCAGGATTGGTATTACAGTAAACCAGAGGGATCGACTGAATTTTAATCTTTATAATGCTATATCATACATACAAATTGTCCATATATTATTTATAATGCCAATTAATACTGTATGTCATATCGGCAGATATACGCCTATCAATGACATTTGCTGTTAATGGATTTAGAAAAGTTTTCTAAGTGTACATATTTGTTTTTTCTCGAACTACTGGACATATTTGAGTGAAAAGACAGAGGTGTCATAAATAATCCCAAGTGTTTTGACCCTCTGACCCAAGCACTCCATTTACAATGATTAATATTTCTTGAACACATTTATTATATGGGGCTTGCAAGGTGCAGGATTCAATTGACTTAACAGGGCCTAATTTGTTAGGTGTACCCATATTTAACATCACAATTTTCACTGAAAATAACCCCAATAAGTAAACGTTACTCATTGAGAAATAGGAGTCCTCTATGGAGACCTCTGCTGTATTTAAAAAGAAACTATGCATATACATTTTTCAAATTACAGTGTATAATGCCCATCATTAACATTACTGATGACCAAATGTTCTCAAGCTTCCTGGCCTCTGGTAGAGGACCCGAGCTGAATGGGGGACGGACACCTCGAGGGATGAGACGAGGATTTATATAAGGATAAAGCGGATCGGAAAATGGATGGATATATATATATATATATATATATATGGAGATTTTTTGCACTGGGTTCCATTTAGGATGGGTTTCATTTAGGTTCCTTTAATTAACATATGTTTAGAAAATAAAAATGTTCATATTCCAAATACATTGAATCACAAAACTGAAAATCAAAGATTTTTAAGTTTCAAGACATTCCCAAAAAGCTCCCCAAGGATTGACTGATGTTTGGATGGTTGGAGATTGAGAAAAGGTTGATGCTCCCTACACCACAGTTAGCAACTAACTTCAGCTGTCCAGTATAGTGTGGCTAAGCATGTTTTTTAGAGTCATCCCGAAGTCAGTAATAATATCCATGACTGTGAATAAGTTTTTCTTTTTACCTTGGAGGTCTGCAAAACCAGTTTTCTCACATTACATTCCAGTAGATCTTATCTTTTTTTCAATTTCGCTTTACCAAAAACTATAAAACCTATTCAGAACTACTGAAGTAAAACTGAAATTTACATTTGTTGGATATTCCCCCACTTAAAGTGTTCTTACACAACAAATGAGTTTGTTGCAATGAGACTTTAAGTTAAAAAAATGCTTTTTGTAAAAAAAAGAAAAACAATTGTCCATTTGTTGCATTGTCCAATATTTTTTGTGTTTAATAAAACCTTTCCTTGAGGTCTCTGGGATTAACCTGTGAAAAATTGCTCCTCAAAATTACAAAATTGATCCTCAAATGAAGACAATGATGACCAAAACTGCTCAACATCAAAAATGTTATTTTGTTCATATTCTATTGGTCAGTATACATGTCTGTATACTGCGTGTGTGTGTGTGTGTGTGTGTGTGTGTGTGTGTGTGTGTGTGTGTGTATATGTGTGTGTAGCAATTACCACTTTTTAAACAAGGTGTATGAAATTATTTCTTGTAATGGATCGACTCGGCAAATTCTGCAAAAAAGTATTTTA